TATAAACTTCAAAAGATATTTGTTAATAATACCATAGACAAAATCCTATACTTACAATATTCATATGATAATAATTATTCTTATTTGAAAATTTTATTGTAAATATTATATTTGTAATATTTAAATAATGCTAATTCAAACTCATTGTAATTATTATCTAGTTATTTTAAAAATCTTTAACTATAATATATTAAATCATCAAAGGTTTTAGGAACGTATTAATACTAATAAACTTTGGATTAATATGATATCTAATAAAATTATAACAATAATATAATTATATTCAGTGAATATAAATACTAATCTTAATTGTTACAATAAATTTTAAAAGATATTGTTAACAATGTAATTTTGTTATGATAAACTTCGAAGGATATTGTTAACAGTGTAATGTCGATTAAAATTATTGCGATAAACTTTGAAGAATATCGTTGACAGTACAATATCAATTAAAATTGCTATGATAAACTTTGAAAGATATTAACAATACAATGTCAATTAAAATTGTTACAATAAACTTCGAAGGATATCATTGACAGTATAATGTCAATTGAAAATTGCAGTGATATAAATATAAGTGATGACTATCAAAATAATATATTATAAATATCTAACATAAATGAAGGTTATTAATACAAAATTACTATGAAAATAATAATATTTGTAAAATTTCATATATGAAGATATTAAAATCAATAATCTTTGAAGGTTATCAATACGAATTTACTATGAAAACAATAATATTCGTAAAATTTCACATATGAAAATATCAAAATTAATAATCTTTGAAAATTATTAATATAAATTTACTATAAAAATAATAATATTTGCAAAATTTCGTCATGTGAAAATATCAAAATCAATAACTTTCGAAGGTTAGCAAAAACCTTTGAAGAATAACATATTGAAAAATAGTGAAATACTTATGTTAACATTAACTTTCGAAGGTTTTCATTAAAAAAAATTTTCTGATGTAGTACTTAGATTAGTGATTTAGAGGTCAAGTTTAATTTGTTGTGTTGGTGATGAAGAAAAGACGAATAAAAGATATAAACGTTACACTTTATACTTAGTCATAATAATGATTATGATGGACAGCTTAGTTACTGCTAGATGAAGAGTATATAAATTTTTAATTCTACACTCTCTAATTACAAGAGTATCTGAATAAGAAGATCTTAGACAAGATGTACTCTTGTAGTGTAATATTACTCTTCCATAATAATATCTCAGTATAATATCTATCAGTTTCACTAGTCGAAAATTGATAAATAATATATATATTGAGTACCCGATATGTGTATGGTACATTCCTAATATCGGGTATATATCAGATACCGATATATGTAAAAAATATTTTATATATATATCAGATATCTGATAAGTGTAAAAAAATATTTTCTACACATATCGGGTACCTGATATATACCTGATATTAGGGACATACCATGCACATATCGGGTATCTGATATGTATATTATTTATCAATTTTCGACCAGTGTTTACTATGGTATTCTGTTAGACTGCTAATAGTAGGGTTATAACTTGAAATATTGAAGGATAATATTCTATTGGTCTAGTACAGTTCACTACATAAGGTGAATAGTTAAGTTGTAGGGTTTGTGGTACTTGCAAAATTACTAATAGAAACCTTTAATACTAAACGAGAATTGATCCTAATATGTAAAAAAATAAAAATAATAATTATTAATAAATTATAAAATGTAAAAAATTGTTTATATATAAATACAAATTTTATAAATTTAGTGAAAATATTATGGAAATTTTTATAAAATATTATAAATATTATAAAAATTTTTATAAAATATTGTAAAAATATTACAAAATATTGTGAAATATTATAAAATTTTATAAAATTTTATAAAATTTTTTACACAAATTATTAAAGATATCAGAAATTTACAAAAATTTGTGAAGTGAAAATTTGTGTAATTTTTTATCTATTAAATTTTTTTGATAGAATTATTTATTCTGAAGTAGGTTGAGAAAATAAATAAAAGTGAGGTATTAATTTATTATTTAAATATACATTTTTTTATGATTTACTAAATTTTATAACTTATAAAAGTTTTAAAATAGAGTTTACAATATGTTTTGTTTGTCATTATTATTGTATGTATTGAAAATAATAATTGTATATATTATTATTATTATTATCATATCACATTAGATTATATAATCATTAACTATAAGACAAAATTGAATATGAAAAAAATTAGCCCATGTAAAAATTTTTGAATATAAATTTGACTTTTCTGAAAGACTAGAAGGAGTTTTCAAAAGGCTAACAACTTTCAAAAAATTAGCAGTTTTCAAAGACCAACAGCTTTCAAAAAAAATAAAAGAATTACTGAAACTGAAATCTTGTAAATAAAAAATAAAAAATAAGATCTATAAGAAAAGATAAAAAAAATGATAGTAATGATGACAAAACTAATAAAGGTGGTGAAACTAATAAAGATGACGAAATTAATGAAAATGACAAAGCTAATAAAGTTGACAAAGGTAATAAATATTATAATAAAATAATAAATATTGATGAAAATAAAAAAAAATAATAAAAAATTAATTTTTAAATATTTATATATTTCGAAAATTTTTGTAAATATTAAAATTAATATAAATAAAATAATAGTAATATTTGAAATACCACAATAAAATAATAATTATTAATAAATTATTAAATGCAAATTTTATAAATTTAATGAAAACGTTATAGAAATTTTTATAAAATATTATGAAATATTGTGAAATATTATAAAATTTTATAAATTTTTTTTTGTGCAAACCTTTAAAAGTATCAGAAATTTGTGAAAATTTGTATAATTTTTCATTTATTAAAATTTTCTGATGTCTTATAAAATTATATTTATTTATAAATATAATTAATTATCTTTAAATATTCTCTTTCTCTTAATTTTAAATTTGATTTAATAGTTTTTTTTTTAAAAAAATTTATTTACTTTTATTATTTTTATTATTTAATTTATATATCCTTTTTTCTTATCTATTTTATTTTTTTTATTTATTCTTTTTTTCTTCTCATTGGTTTTAATCTTTTTTTTTTTTTTTAATATATTTAACTTTTCTTCTCTTTTCCTAATCACCTTTATAATATACTTTAACTTTTTATTTTTTTTTTTATATATTTTATTTTTTTCTTTATAAAATTATCAATTTCACTATTTTTTCTTATGAAAATATCAATATTGTTCTAAATTCTATACTTTTAATTTCTTTTTACTCATTTTCTTATTTTAATATTATTCACTTTTATTTTTTTCTTTTCTATTTCATTTATTTATTTTTATTACTATAATTATATTATTACAATCAGATTGTAAAATTCAATTTTATTATTTTTACTCTTGTTAAAGAAAAATTTTTTAATAAAATATAAAGTTTCTCAGGAAAATTATATTTAATTAAGTATTACTGAAATGTAAAATTTCTCTTTAACCATTTTTTTTTTTTTAAAAAAAAATAATAAATGTAAAAAAATTAAAATAGATTTTCATTATTTTAATTAATTTTGTAAAATGGAAATACAATTTCATTTTATTTATTTTAGATTATACATATTCTCAAAATTGATTTTGAATTTTTGCGATATTTCATTTTTTTGAGATTTATATAAAATTTATTCTATATATGGAAGTAAAAAAAATATCTAGTTAAGTATATCTTTAATCAAAGAATTTTCAAAATTGTAATTTCAGAATTTCAAAATAATTTTTTGTACAAGTATAATTTTAAACATGAATTAAAAGAATATTTTGAAATTGAAAAGTAATCTACAGATTGAAAGAGTAATTTGAGAATTGAAAAAATAAATTAAATTAATTTTTCTATTCACGAATTAATCTTTTAATTTATGGATTAATATATATAATTTGAATTATCTGAATTATTTTTTTTTAATCTAGATTATGTAAACTGTTAAAAAAAGTAATTTGTCAATTTACGATATTACAGATAATCTATTGGATTGACTAATTGGTCATTTATAAATCATATTTCTAATTTGAATGAAGTCAAATCAGTTCATATGTTAAGATTTGTTTTCAAAAAAATATTTTTGATTTTAATTAACTAATTTACTAAATAGACTATTTTGAAAATAGCAATAATATTATTTTTAATATTTTATTAATAAAAAAAATAAATAAAATTTATTATATAATAACATTTATAAATTATTTAAATTTTATTTTTAATTAAGTTACTAACTTTAATATGATCATATAATTACAGACGTGTAGATATAGTAGATCCCCTCTATAAACACACCTCTTGAAACTATAAAAACAAAAAAATAAAAGGTGATTATAACCATATAGAGGAATTTTTATATGGTATTACTAAGTATTGGTCTTCATAAAAGGTGTACTTATAAGTGGGAATTTATATGATGTGATTGTGCAGGGGGTAACTATAGAGGAGATCCACTATAATTGTAAATTGCAAAATTGCTAATTGTAAACTTATGAGCCTATATAGTAACCCACAACACTTTTTATAATTGTTAATACTGTTTTTACTTATAATTTAATTTGTATAAGGTAAACTTATGAGCCTATATAGTAACCCACAACACTTTTCATAATTGTTGACAATTATGAAAATAAACTAGTGAAACATATACCTTGTTCCCCTGTATTTAGATTCTGATTTATTCAATTTCTTCAAATCTTTCTTTTAACAATTGAAATAATTAGCTTTGAATATTTGTAAAATTATTAAAGTACTATTTAAAAATTTTACATACGGAACATGTCTTAAAACTTAAAAGGAAAGATATTCTTCAAGTTTGCAATAACCAAAATCTCTTACACTCCGTAATACAAGACTCACATGATATTGTGCTCCTTGACTTTAGGTAATCGATCCGCTGATCGTTGACATAAGGAAAGTATTTATACACATTTCTTATTCTGAATTTCTGTATTTTTTAGATTAGTTTTTCTTCGTATAACGAGATGGATCATTATCCCAATTACGGAAGTCAACAAGATCCACCCTCAGGATATAACTATCCACAATGTAGGTTTTACGCTTTTAGATGAACTTTTAAAATATAAAATTTCTTTCAACTTAGTTATAACTTTTGTTTTCTACCGAGATTTAGATTATAAACTTGACTAGTATATTATTATAAATTCTTTTGTGATTTTCAATAAATATAGATAACGATGCTTACAGTCAAAGTGGGTATTCGGCAACAGCCAACACATCCGAATATTATTACGGGAGTGGAAGTGCTCCAACGGCGGGAAGTAACAGTAGTAATAGTGGTGCAAATCCACAGCCAACTACACCGTCAACATCATCACAAGGGTATGCGCCTCATCCAAGGAGTGATGGCTACGAAGGCGGAACTTATTCTTCCAGTTATAATTATGGTAACTATCCTGCACCAGCCGCCTCAGGGAGTTATCAAACGGGTCCAGGTTCATCATCAACGGGAGGAGGAGGAAGCATAAATTCCACAGCACCATATAATACAAGTGGTAGTGGGTATAGCGGTGGAACAAATAAGACAAGTTATCCAGATCGTGGTAGTGACTATGGGGATGGCCCTAGTTATGGAGGAAACAAAAATCCCTACGGAGAAAATTTTAGTAACAGTTATAAATCTCGAGATAATAGTAGAGATGGATATGGTCCACCATCAAAAGAAGGTAATACGTTTGATAGTTATGGAAGTCGTTCAGAAGGTGGATATAAAATTTATTAGATACCAATTTGATAAAATTAAAATTTACTACGGGGGTAATCAATTGTCTTCCTTCTGAATTCGGAATATATTTAGATAATTTTACGGACGAATCATTAGTTCAAACAAGTGCCGACACGGTTTATGTATCAAATTTGAGTAAAGATGTTACGGAAGAAAAATTAATAGATCATTTTGGAAGTCTTGGAATGTTAAAAATTGACAAGAGAACGCAGAAGCCAAAAAGTAAGCCAAATAGAAAATGTTAAAATTATTTTTGCACATTAAAGTGCACCCTCAAATTTATTATTTTTTTGATAGTATGGATATATTACGATAAAGTATCGGGTGTCCCTAAAGGAGATGGTACGTTCACTTTTTAAAAATAAATGAAATTATAAACAAAAACAAATTTCTCATATTAATATCTATTAATCTCTAGCGACCGTAACGTATGAAGATGCAGACTCCACTGCAGCAGCAATTAAATATTTTGATAATCAACCATTTCTTGGTCAGGTAATAAATCATTATATAATTTAGGAATACATTATTTCTATCATCATAACGATGTTTAATTATTATTTTTTGAAATTTCACTCAAAAAGATTATAAAAGTAGAAATGTCTGTTCGAAAAGTTCCTTCTACAGGATTTAGAGGTCGCGGTAGGGTTGGTAGAGGACGGACCGGATTTACTAGAGGCGGTGCTGGTCGTGGAGGACCACCCCCACGTGATGGGGATTGGACATGCGAATCGTAAGTTATACAAAACTTTGATATTAGATTAAAATTTATTTGTATGAAGTTTATAAATATATATTAATAAATATAAATATAAATATATATATTGTATTTTTTATACATACATATAGATGTCACGCTAATAACTTTGCTAGAAGAATGGAGTGTTATAAATGTCATTCACCTCGTAGTGATGCACCTGGAGACGATACCGGATATAATAGTAGTCGATATTCTGGATCAGTAAGAGGTGGGTATAGAGTTCGTCGTGGCGGCGGCCCCGTAGCTTATGGTAGCCGCTATAACGATGACGATAGAGGATATGGAAGTAATGGCTATCGTAATAATGATAGCAGCAGCAGTGGCCATTATGATCAAGGTTATGGGAAACCGAGCAAACAGGATGATCGACAAGATCGCAGGGATAGATATCGTCCTTACTAAGAACTAACAAATAATGATTGTGAGGAATTTGGGTTTTAATAATCCTCATTTTTATTATTTTTTATTTGGATCTCGTGGTGGTTAATTTGTTTTATGACTTGCACTTTTCATTATGGTTCATTGGTTCGTTGGGAATAATAAGAATATTATTATATTTTGGGTGAGAGTGAGATGAAGAAAGGAAAATCTAGCAAAAGGGGAGCGAATGACTATTATTTTGTGAATTATTTGAATTATTGCATACAAAATTTTTATTGGGACCCAATACAAAAAAAAAAAAAAGATACAAACATGATATTTAAACTGGGTAGGTATATTTATGATGGTATCCTCGGAAGTCTAATGTGCACATAAAAAATTAAAAGAGAAGGTTAAAAATTAATAAGGACAGTTGATTTGATAATATAATTGTTCTGGTAGGTATTTATATTATTTAAGGGAATTCTGGGAAATCAAAAGTAATTATATTTAACGGTTAAAAATGGATAAAAAAGAAATGAGGGATTTGAACAAATTTTATTATTTTTGGATAATCATAATCAAAGGTTTAAAGGATTTAAAGGTTAATTTATAATAATGAAAGGCGTTCAAATATCTTTTAAGTGTTTAAAACTCATTAACTTTTAATTTGCGAATGAACAATATTACACATTATACATTGCTTTTATTGGGTAAATAAATATAGATATTACGAGGTTTATTATATTATTAATATTTTTAATATTTTATAATATTTATTCAATTTTTAAATAAATTATATGAACATGTGTTGATTTTATTTTTAATGAAAATGTATTTAAAAATAATATAATAAATTATTATTGGAATTTCTTAATGATGCCCGTTAAAATTAGCTCCGAATCAAGTTGAACAATTTCCATATTCTTTGTTATACCATTGATAAGTGAATTTTCCAAAACCTCATTGGATTTAGAGGGCTTTATTTTTTTGTTGATTGTTCCTACAGTAACATGTGGAACTTTATTTTTGCATTCAACTTCAGGCTCCGTTTTCTTGACAACAAAAGTCATTAGTTCGTTAGTTAAAACTAACTTGTCGATATACACTTTTACCTCCTGTGGTTCCCCGGCGCACATAACTTTACATTTCTCCCAATAATCTTGATATAGTTTCTTAACCGATCTATGAATGAGTGTAACATGAGGTTCAACAATGATGCGATTATTATCTTTCAATATTTTGTATACTTTGTTGTCGACATCTGAGTGGTTAGCGAAAAATTGAGACAAATATTCTTCAATTTTAAAGTCATTAAGTTTAATAGCAAAATACGTAGGATCCGGTTCGGAATTATGATTATCATGATTATCATTATTTGATTTGGATGATCGATTTTTGTTATTTTTGTTGGAATCTTCCCCCGACTTACTCTTACTAACAATTTTATGAATTTCTGGCGTGTAATTGTTTGCTTCTTTCAACACAGCTTTAATACGCTCTTCACTAGGAATTTCAATTCCAATAATTGAATGCAACTTTTCGATAACTTTCATGAGATTGGTTTCGGTATTATCAAGAATATCCAATTCAATCGCATGATCGAATAAATTACACATTTCATGGTTTCCTAATGGCTCAAATTCATTGAGGAATCTCCATATGATTTCATTTAACTTTGGATTTTCTGCTTTAAGTGTTTGGTGATTATTCCCTCGACTACTAATTCGTTCAGAGGTTATTTCCGAAATACGTTCAAAATCATATTTATGATGATCCCAATAAATCGCTATGGTTCGGACATCATTGGGGAAAGCATCCCTAACAGCTTTTATCAAAGTCTCACGATGATTAATCAAATGATTATTCCTAAACCATTTGAAATGAATACTATTTAATCTAACTTTTTTAGATAATTTGTAAAGGGACATTTTTTAGATATTAACCTATCTGCAAATACAACGTTGATATCTTCAAATTGCTTTATAATAGCGTCGTGGAATTTAGAACGATTTTGAATATCATCATTCTGAATATGATAAAAATTGAACAGCTTTGTAAGTGCAAAAGCCAATGTTGTTTTGCCTTCAATAAAATATAATAAAAAAAAAAAAATTAATATGTACATTTTTAGAATAAGCGTTAATAAAAAAGGTTAATGATATGCGAATGCAGGTATTTACCACATCCAACTGTTGCAATAGGAACAATTAAAGTTTTTTTATATTGTTTAGGTTTTGGTTCTTTCTTCTTTTCGGAAATCTTTTCGAAACTTTTTTTAAAACCCTGATTTTCCCAATATTCAAGAAACAAATCTCTTATACGAATAATTCCACGGTAATGCGTATAATCTTTAAAGAGGGAAGGTTCAGATTTCATTTTTTCTTTTACCCATTCGATATAATGTTTACTCAGTTTATAGGTTGGTCTTGGATTTTTCTTTGCTAAAAGAGCTTTTGTAATCTCTCTCCACTCACGATACAAAAGATATGGTTCTTTTTTGATTTTGAAAAAAAAATCTTCATTACTAGATTTTAATTTTGTTCTAATGACAAACCCTTCGATATTATGTTCTTCCGAATTTTTTTCTTTAATGTTGTCTGGGATAAAATTATTAATAGAATATTTTGTTTTGTGAAAACCCCATTCTTCGGCAAATGCTGTAACATAATTCATAGGCCATGTTTTGAGTTCAGGTAGATTATAATTAATTCCGTGAAGACGAAGACCACTTTGTTCAGGAGTATATTCAAGGACATGTTCTTGAAAACTATCATCACAGAGCTATAAATTATTGTAATGGAAATAAAGTAAAGTTAAATATAAATATATACATATATATATATATGTTATATATGTTATATATGTATGATTGTTTCAAAGTAATATAATTGTACCTCGGCCACGGCGGTTAATTTATATTTATATAAATAACTTGCTAAATCTTTTTTGCTTTTTCCCACTTTTTCTAGATGCTTATTAAGCCATTCCTCGCCCTTACCAGCATGAGTAATTTCATCAGGTTTTTGTTTTTCTCCAAGTGAATGTTTGCTAGTGATTAATATGTGATCACCAGGAAGACCACTAATGAAAATTATACATCCATTTTCTTTATGTGTGATTTCATAAGGACTTTTGGTATTTGCATAAATGTTTTCCCACTAGATTTCAAAATAGAAATAAATTTCAAATAGATTTCAAATAGATTAAAATAGATTAGAATAGAAAATCAAATAAGTTAAACGAAGAAATCAAAAAAAAAATATATATATATATATATATATTTACACTAGTTTCTGCTACTTCATTAACATTAAAGAATTTATCGTATCCCCGTATCAAAATTTCATGTTTATGATTTTCTGTAACTCTTGTAAATAAACCGCGAGCTTTTGTAGGAAGAATACCTTTTTTGTAATTCCAATCATTTGTTTTCCAAGAGTAAATAGTAAGACCAGAAGGTTTGTGAACTTGTTCATTTGGTTTCATAATACGAGATTTTTTAGTCTCTTTCGCTCCCGCAACATAAAGTAACTTGACAAATTCATGAGATTTTTGAAGATCTTTCTCAGTTACGGTATATATTGTATCAGGGTCAAGCTTTGAAGGTACTTTGTAGGGATCCATTATTAAAAAATTTACAAGTTTTACCAAGTGAGAAAAGTCGGGATCAAATTTTTTTTTAAAACGATTAGTAAATTAGTGTCATGTGATCAAATGACAGGCAGCGATTATCATGAAGATTTTTTGATCACATGATAAAAAAAGATTTAAATTACCTGTATTTTAATTTTTTCTCAAGAATTAACTTATTCAAAATGAGTGATAAATTAACAAGAATTGCAATCGTTAATTCGGATAAATGTAAACCGAAAAAATGCAGACAAGAGTGTAAAAAATCTTGTCCTGTAGTTAGAATGGGTAAGGCAACTTAGATCATCATAAGTAAAAATTTAATTTTAAGACTTTCAAAGATTTGTAGGTCATTTGACTTTTTTTTTTTTCAATAGGTAAACTTTGCATCGAGGTGACTCCAGAAAACAAGATCGCCTACATTTCTGAAGACTTATGCATCGGCTGTGGAATTTGTACTAAGAAATGTCCGTTCCTTGCTATAACGATTATTAATCTTCCTACCAATCTAGAAAAAGAAGTTACTCATAGATATTCTGCCAATTCCTTTAAACTTCATCGTTTACCTATACCTAGACCAGGTCAAGTTCTGGGGTTAGTGGGTACTAATGGAATAGGCAAGAGTACCGCACTCAAAATTTTAGCGGGAAAACTTAAACCGAATTTGGGATGTTTTGAAGTAATTATCAATTATTTTAATTATTTCAAAAAATAATCCCGATATAAATTAAATATTATAAACTATTTAAATTATTCAAAATTCAACTTTATGATTGAAAAGGAACCTCCGGATTGGCAAGATATTTTGAAATATTTTCGCGGAAATGAATTGCAAAATTATTTCACCAAAATTTTGGAAGATAATCTGAAGGTAACAATTGGATTATCAGTTTACTAGTAATAGATATAGCGATAATTTTCAAAGATTTGCTTTAGATTGTTTAATCATATTATATTTCTTAAAAGTATGAGGATATCTTTTCTTTAAATTAAGGCCATTATCAAGCCTCAATACGTAGATCACATTCCTAAAGCTGTCGAAGGCATGGTTAATGATCTGATTGACGCCAAATTAGAACGAGATAACAAAGAAGATATTTTTAATGCTTTAGATTTGAATGTTATTCAAAGGCGTCAAGTCAAAGAATTATCTGGTGGAGAATTACAACGTTTTGCTATTGCCGTCGTGTGCATTCAAAATGCAGACATGTAAGTTAAAAAAAAAAGGAAGGGATTTTAAATTATTCTCTATATATCTAGAAGATCTTTATTAATCAACTTTTTTTATTAATAATAAATATAATAGTTATATGTTTGATGAACCATCATCATATTTGGATGTCAAACAGCGTTTGAATGCTGCCAGGACTATAAGATCTTTATTACAACCTAATCGGTAATTTATTTGTAATTTATTTGTAATTTATTTTATAGTTGATTTTAGTAATTTGTTAAATTGTTACTTTAAATATTATTATTGACAAACTGTGGTTTTTTTTTCCTTTAACATTTAGGTATGTTATTGTTGTTGAACATGACTTATCGGTTTTAGATTATCTTTCGGATTTTATTTGCGTACTTTATGGAATGCCATCTGTATATGGTGTCGTGACTATGCCTTTCTCTGTGCGTGAAGGTATTAATATTTTTTTGGACGGAAATGTACCAACAGAAAATCTGAGATTTAGAGAAGAATCTCTGACGTTTAAGTTAGCGGAAAATGCTGAAGACGAGAAAGAAATAGAAAAGCAAGGAAGTCATAAGTATCCAGACATGATCAAGACTTTAGGTACTGTTTAATTTAATGATCAATTTGATTAATTTGATTAATTTAATAATGATTTCATATTTTTTTGAATTTATTTTGAATAACTCTATAATTTGCGATAAAATTAAAAGGTGATTTCAAATTAACCATCAAGGCAGGAGAATTTACAGATTCAGAGATCGTTGTAATGTTAGGAGAAAATGGAACAGGAAAGACTACATTTATCAAATTATTAGCTGGTGCATTAAAATCCGATGGAAATGAACAAGTTCCAGAATTGCGCGTTAGTTATAAACCACAAAAAATTTCGCCAAAATATCCCAGGACCGTTCGTGCACTCTTTCATGAAAAAATACGAGCGGCATTTTTACTTCCACAATTTCAAACCGATGTTACAAAGCCAATGCAAATTGATAGTATTCTTGATCAAGAAGTAATGAATTTGTCCGGTGGTGAACTTCAACGTGTGGCTATTGTACTAGCGTTAGGTAAACCAGCTGACATTTATTTGATTGATGAACCATCAGCTTACTTGGATTCCGAGCAACGTATTGTGACGGCAAAAGTTATCAAAAGGTGAATAGGAATTCTTTTTTTTTTTATAGTCACTTTTCATTATTATAAATTTATTATTAAATTTATAAATTTTAAACAATATTTCAATATTCTATTTTTAGATTTATTCTTCACAATAAAAAGACTGCTTTTGTTGTCGAACATGATTTCATAATGGCGACATATCTAGCAAATCGGGTTATTGTTTATGAAGGAATACCATCCAAAGAAGCTACAGCTAACTCGTAAGTTCAAAGTTTTAAATTACTAATTCAATAAAAATATTACAAAATATTAAATAAATATGGTTTATATATATATTTGATAATTTGATATATAAATTTTATAGGCCACAATCCTTGTTAACAGGTATGAATAAGTTTCTCGCATCACTTGAGATCACATTTAGACGTGATCCAACAAACTTTAGGCCTAGAATCAATAAAGCAGAATCTTCTAAAGATAAAGAACAAAAAGCAAGTAAGTATAAAAAGATATTTACAGATATGGTAGATAATACATATAATATATACATTTTACACATTTTACACATTTTACTCACTTTATTCACTTTACCACTTTAGGTGGAAGCTATTTCTTCTTGGAAAATGAGACTTAAATAAACATTTGATAATAATTTTGTAATTGTAAATCTATCATAATTACAGTAATTATATAGAATATATATATATAGAATCAAATTAATTAAATTAATGGATTTTACTTTCAAAAAAAAAAATGAAATTAATAGGTGGATTTCTATTTAAATAATAAAAATCCAAAATTTATTTTAAAAGTTGTAATAATTATAATAATAAAATTGTTATTTAAATATATAAAATACATAAGAATTTTAGTACAAAATTTGTTTAAATATTTTTCAATTACAAATCTCTAATTTTACCGTAATTGTCTAGTGAATATTACTTAAATTAATAAAAATAATATAATATAATAATACTAATATAATAATACTAATACAATAATAATGATATAATGATAATGATATAATAATAATAATAATAATAATAATAATAATAATATACATTATTAATCATGTAAAATTTCCCATTTTTCAATCATTTCACTTAATTTCTGTAAAGCAACCTGACCCAGGTCAAAATAATGATGATTCTCATTAGGATCAAACATAGAAACATGAGCGTCAATTTCATCAGATGCTGTACTAACGGCAGGTGAAAAATATATCATCGTTTCTGGTGGAGGAGGAGAAATAAATGTACGGGATGAAGTATTGGCATTTGTTGGTGAAATCTATACAAAACAAATGAAAAAAATATATAATAATTAAAATAATAACAATAAATAATAAATTAATAAAATTATAGTTAGAATAATTAATTAAAATTAATCAATACATACCAATGAATAATAACAATGAAAAGTAATATTTGGCACTTCTACAAGACTATCAACCCTATAATAATATGAATAATATGAATGAAATAATAATAATTAGAATGAAATAAAAATAAAGATGATGATAATAAAGAAAAATAAGAATTATATTTATTACATTTTTATTTCTTACCTTTTTTTTAATTCTGAATCCTTCCATAATATACCAACATATTCTAAATGACTTCCAAGCCAATCAACACCTTTTGCAACTTTTTCTTTATGCATATAAGCAGCCCCACCTATTATAGCAGCACTTGTCAAAGCAGCAATACCAAATTTTCCGAACCCACTTGATTTTTTTACTGTAGCAGAATTATTACTAGTTGCAATTGCTCCGGAATAAAATCCTGTAGCTGATGATATTAATGAAATGGTTGTTCCAATTGTTCTATTATAAGAAGCTGCTTTTTCTAGTGCTGCCTTGGAAAAGACATTTACATGTATACCATAATAAGGTGTATCAAATGCTAGCAAACCAATTATGTTTACTGGTTTAGAAATCAGAGATTCATATCTTAAAATGGTATCCGCAGCTTTTTTTTTTTTTAAAAAAAAAAAAAAAATGTCAATAAATGTCAATAAATGCCAATTGAAAAAAAAAACCCCCGGATAATTTAAATGATCTATTAATATTATGATTACCTAAAATTCCGCCCATTGAATGTCCACATAAACAAACCCAAACTATTCCTTTACCCTTTATCATCTCTTCGTGAATTTTGACTTTATCCTCTAGCCAACCACAAAATGTTTCTACCGCTAAGTGTAAATTTCCTCTCGTTTCATATTTCGGATATATTATCGATTCTGTGTCAATATTTTTTGTAGCCTTTATTACGTCTTGAAGACGATTCGGGAAATCCTAACCAATAGTTATATTAAAAAAGTCAAGAGGTATTACTTATACAATATACAATACAAAAATTAGACAAAAGGAGAGAAGTATTAGGCATAAATCTTACTCCAAATGTTTTGTCATTTCCTTTAAAACCATGAACAAAGATAAGCAGAAGTTTGTTATTATTTTTTCTTTCTTTTCTTTCCAAAGACATAGTTGAAAGTTGATGATTTGATTTTTGGCATGTGAAAATGGTGATTAAAAAATTGCGTCAATCATTAGTGAAAATCGTGGTTATTTACACGTGCAAAATTGTGTATATATATATATCGTTTCTTTGGCTTCATCAATTTAACTTCAGGATACAAAACTTATTATTTTGAATGAATTGATCTTTCAATAACTTTAAAGATTAAAGATACAAAAAATTGAGATCAAATTTATTTATTTATTTAATTAGAAAATAATGTATTGGCAAGTCTTTAAATGTCTTTTTTTTTTTTTTTGTTTTTGGCAAAATACTTGTTAATATATTTAATATATTCAAATGTATATGATAAGGATGTTGACAATACATACCATAAAAAGTAATAGAAGCAAAAAAGCCATTCAAATTATATTCAATCTGCGTTGCTTAATCTAACCTGCATTTAATCAGGAGACCTTTGAAACAAGACTAGTTTGAATTTTGTAAAAGTTACAACATTGATATCAAAATTAATAAAATTAATAAATAAAATAAAATCTCTCTATCGTCTGGGAAAAACTCCCCAGAAATTAGGGTGACACGAGTCCAATGAAACGAAGAAAAAAAATATCATACAATTTTTTGTAAAAATGAAATAATCCTTTTTTTTTTTTAGTAAAAGAAGATATTTGAGATGATTGTAGGAAAATTGTCTTAAATGTTTGGGATAATTAAAAGACTGTCATTTGTCGCATTTTTATGGGAAGAATTATTTTTTCTCTCTCTCTCTTTTTTTTTTTTTAATTATTTTTCTTGTTTAAATTTCTATAAATTATTTAATTTATTTTCATTATCATTATGCGTACAGTTATGTATGTAATGTATGTATGCGTTACAGTACAACCAAAACGCGTTTACGAGCGTCTAAGAAAGTCGTTTTAGTGGTTAGATAAACACAAAATATAAATATATTGAATATATTGAATAAAATATGGTAAATTAAATATTATCTTATAATATATTTACTATTACACATATTTAAATATTTGTTATAGAGATCTTTTGTTTATTGTTTGCATTATTATTTCATAAAAATAACAAATATTCATGATTCAACCCTTTAATATGTAAAGTTAAACTTTTTAAATTTATATAAAAGAATTATATTTTTTCTATTTTTCTAATAAATAACGCGTCAAGGAAAAAGACGCGTATATTGTCATAATATTAATATTAAATGCGCGCCACAACATATCATCATCAGATGTTTTGATATTTTGAACCTTCTGACATAGTAATGACAATATAATATTTGTAATATTCTGTACTACCTTGCATCTATTTATAAATAACATTCAGGTGGCAAATTTTTTTTTTTAATAATTGATATAAACAAATTACCCTGTAAATTTTCAAAAGAAATCATTCACTGGAAAAATTTCAGTCTACATTCTCTTCCCTTAAAATCTCAACAACTTTGTTAAATAACTTTAATAACTTCGAATAAATAAATGTCTAGCGTAGAAAAATCCGAAACAGGAAGAAGTTCTCGTGCTCGTAACGCTGAGAATATCGTTCCTGCCTCAGGTTCAGAAGATGCTGGTTCAAAAGCTAGAGTAAGTAAAATATTTATGACAAACAATAGAATCTCGAGATGAGTGAACTTGAGAATACTTTGTAAATAAAATATAATTAAAAGATACTATGTTTAAAATAAATTTATTTTATTTATTTTTAGTCTAAACAACGTAAAGGAGCTGTAAAAGCCGTGTCGTCGGGAACTCAAAAAACATCCAAGAGTGTCAAAGCAGGTAAACAAAGAAGAATAAATTTTTTTTGTTTTATTATTATTATTATTATTTATTATTACTTTGATTATATATATATTTATATCTATTTATCTATCTATCTATTTATCTATATAGGTCTTACTTTTCCTGTTGGTCGTATGGGTCGTCTTTTAAAAAAAGGTCGATATGCTGACCGTGTAGGTGCCGGAGCACCAGTTTATCTTGCAGCAGTTATAGAATATTTAACAGCTGAAGTACTCGAACTTGCCGGTAATGCTGCTCGAGATAACAAAAAACAAAGAATTATTCCAAGACATTTACAGTTGGCTATAAGAAATGATGAAGAATTAAATATTTTATTGAGGAACGTTCATATTGCTGAAGGTGGTGTACTTCCAAATATTCATATGCAATTACTTCCCAAGAAGAAAGGTGATAAAGCTAAGGCGGGCGGACCAGTAACCCCATCACCAAAAAAACCTACCAAAGGGAGCAAAACTCCATCATCAGCAACTAAGGCATAAAGATTTAGATCTTTTTATATAAAAACAAAGGTTTTAATTGATTTATTTTTGGTGTTGTTAAAAATTCAGTTTCTTTTTAAAAAGTTATACAAATTCATCTTTAAATTTTAGTTACTATTATTTTTTTTTTTCTTGATTTTTATTCATATGATACATAAAATCGATCATGATTATTAAATAATTAGATTCATGATTGTAAAATTATATACATAAATTTGAAACAATTTCATTTAACAAAATATTTTTTTTATATTAAAAAGAAAATTACAAATCATCAATAAAATTTGAAATTCGCGCGTTACTTTGGCAGCAAAAAGTGAACATTTGTACTACCAAAGGATAACATTGAATCCGTGATGTACAAGTCCAAAATTAGTAGTACGGTTTATTAGATCTTCGGGTATTACTTATTTAAAATTTTAATTATAAAATTAAATGTGTCAAATTAATTTTATTAAAGATCGTTACTACATATACTTTTTATTTCATAAGTAAATGTAAAAAAAACGGTGCTAACTAATAATCAAGCTATCTAATAAATTTACTGTAAAAGTTTTTAATTTGTTTCAAAATCGAGAGAATGGTGGGTATTTTAATTTTAAGTATTTAAAAAATTATATTTTTTTTTTTAGTTTTTGTTTAAAAAATATAAAATTCATGTTACTTTCAACGTTTTTTATTGGTTAAGATGCTTTATTATAAATAAAAATATTATAATTATCTAGTTTAATTATATTTCAAACAAATACCAGTTGATCCATTTGATGCTTGCTGGAGAGATGACTTTATCTTTCCAATTACTCTAATAAGTGTTACACCTGGGTTTTACTTAGTAAATAAAATTCTACTGTAATTTTCACATTACACAATGTGAGATCTGTATTCTGTTTTAAATTTAGTGATCTATAGTTCATTGATTTTTCTCATCAAAGATGAGCATTTTGATAATGTAGAATATGTATTGCTTGACATTATAATTGTAATTTTTTAAATGGCTAAAGAAAATCTATTATTTTTTTAATTTGATACCATTGATCATCAGTAATTACAAGTCTTCTAAAATCTTTATCTAAAAGAACTATTGAATCTAGAGTCTAAATAATAATTAATTATCAAATTAAAAAATTAAAATTATTAAAAATATTAATAAAATGTTAACTGTTTTCATTTTCAATGTTATTAAAATCATTTCACATGTTGAATTTCAAGTTTTCACATCTAAAATTGATTTTAAATTATTAAATTCATGAAATTTACAAAAGTAACTTAATTTTTCATATCTCTGAGAAAATGCACAAGCTATATAACATATTATAACAATAAACACAGGTTAAATACAAAAGAATAGACATACTGAAAAGGAATAAATAAGACAGTTGATTTTATAATTAGGAATCTTAATTTATAATTAAATATTCTGATTTTATACCAATTTTTAACTAACTCATAATTAAGAATTCTAATTTATACCAGTAATTTTTTTTGTATTTGACCAGTAAAAATATTATAAAATTCTGTTTAATTCAAAATTGTCAATATTAAGAATAATTATTAACAAAATTTCTAATTCAATTTGTTTTTAAACAAGTTTGAACATTCAAATTAATGATGTGCACAAAACATCTAAAATGTTTTTTGTTTCACAAAAAAATTCCATGTCACTTATTGTTGAATAAGTTGATTATGATAATATTGCTGTTATTACAAATATTGGTTTAAGTAATTGAATTATATTTTTAATATTTTGCCATTTATTATCTTGTATATAAAAAATTCCTAATTCTCAATTTTTTGTAACAAGAATATCTAAATATTTCTCATTAGATAAAATTTGTTTAATATTAAATAAGTACTATTTTTTCAAGTTTTCATATCTAAATATGGTTTTAATTCTGGAACTTTTTCAAGTTACCAAATTGTTCTTATTAAATCATTAAGTTTTGTTGATTGTTAAATCTTTACTATAAAATCTCTAACCTTTTTTATAATTGGATCTGATAACTGTAATCCATGTTGAACTGCAATATTTAAAATATGTGTAGCATAATGTTGATGAACAAATTCTTGATTTTCTAATTTTACTTTAAGTTCTCTAACTGCTACAATTATAGATTATATATTATCTATTGTAATTTCCAATAATTTTTTAATAATTTTTGTATTATCTAAAGCTTGTAAAATTAATTGTTAAATTCAAATTGCTGAATGTGATCCTGGAAAATGTAAAAAATAAAGTAAAAAATGTTGTAATTTCCAATTATAATCTATAAAATAAACTGTAATATCAAGATATAATTGCATTATAATTGAACTCCAAATATCACACATAATTGATAATTTTTTTGTTTGTGAAAGTTCTTATAAAAATTTTTTTTCATATTATCATAATTGTTCATTATTTCTGATTTAATAGTTTACCTATATGGCACTTGATAATGTCCATCAAAAGTATTTAATATTGTAATAAAATATGGATTATTTATAATAGCAAAAGGAAGTTAACAGTAAACAATAAAATCTACAATTGTATTTGTAAGTTATTGATATTGCATTTTTGATTTTACATATAGTTTAGGTACAAATTTATCTAAAGTACTTTTTACTTTTTCAATTTTACTATTGTATTTTGTAGTTAGATGTCTTACAAGTATACCTGGAGTATTAGATAGTTTATAACAATTTTTATATATAATACAAATATATGTAATAATTTTTTGAAATTTTTAGAAATAAATATATTTAGATATATTTGATCACTTATACATTTATCTACATAAATTACATTAATCCACATTAATTTACATTTATTTACATTAATTCATATATTATACTAAATATTTTTTTTTTTGTTTCAACAAGATCTTGCCTCAAATTTATGAATTAGAAAAAGAGAAAGTTTTTTTTTACATTATATAAGATTACATAATACAAAATACACAACTTATTCTAATGTTTGTTAGAAAAGATGAGACTCAAACTAACTCATGAGAGATGGGCCCGCAACCTACTGCCTGATGTTATACTAAATATATTTACATATATTTGTAAATATATCTATATATATTTACAAGTAAAAATTTTCTGATGTAGATATTTATTTAAAAATAAGAGTATGTGTCTGTACTCCACTAAGATTCAATTTTTGAAATATCTTCTGACTTGATCTCTGATTCTTCTTACTGATACTATCTAGTTGAAAGAGTAATTACAAGTATATATGTTTTTAAAATTAATTTTTATTTTTTTGAGATTTACTCAGAATCTATTCTATATATGGAAATAAAAAATATCTAGTTAAATTAATTAAGAGATTTATCTGGATAGTTAAAAAATTTCAGATTTTAAATAAAATAATTTCATCTTCTATGAAAAACTATTTTAACTTTTTTTTCTAAAATTGTAATTTTGAAACTTCAAAATAATTTTGTGTACAAATATAATTACAAGTACAATAAAATATTTGAGTTTAGCCTAGTAGTTATCAGAGGTTTGAAGAATATAAAATAAATTATAATATTAATAAAAACTTTAATTTATTCTATAAGATCAAAATAGACTAACATTAGAAATTTTATAAAGATGTTTTACATCAGGAATTAAATAAAAACAGTTTATAACATTATATGAACACTATTCTATAGTGTTCTACAAACAGTACTAACATTTATATAACATACTAAATATACAATTTTAAGGTGTTTTACAAACTTTTTGTTTATATAGTATACTAAAATTGACATTTTTAATAATCTTTTGTTTATATAATATACTAGAATACTTCTATATAATTTCAGATGTAATATGTTATAAATATAAAATATTAAAATAATGTACTAAAAATATCAATTTTAGTTATTATAAATATAAAATGTTTGAATAATATACTAAAATGATATATTTAGTATACTATTAATATAAAATATTTGAATAATATACTAGAACATTATATTCTAATATATTAGTGTTATTCGAAAAATAATATAGAATGATATTTGTATTATATTTGTACACAAAATTATTTTGAGACCCCGAAATTACAATTTTGAAAAAAAAAATTGAAATAGTTTTTCATAGAAGAAAAAATTATTTTACTTAAAATCCAAAATTTTTTGATCACCCAGATTTATTCTTTGATTAAAGATACATATCTTCCATATATAAAATAGATTCTGCATAAATTTCAAAAAGTTAAAATATCTCAAAAATCTAAAATCAATTTTGAAAACATGTATAATTTGTATAGTGTTATAAAATGTTTTTATTTAATTTCTGATAAAGAATTTAGGATACACAGGTCGAAATCCATATTTCAGGTATATATCAGGGACCAATCGGATAGCTATCGGAGGGACCAATAGATATCCGATAGGTGTCCAATAGGTATCCAATAGGTGTAATATAAATATGTCAGGAATCTATCTATCGGTTACCTTATAAAAATCAGGTGCCCAATATATTTTTTAATTTTTTTTAAAAAATTTTTATGTCCCCAATATGTGTATTAAATATAACTGAATGTAATATTTAT